AGATGAAGAAGTAGCTAAGATTGACAGCCAAGAAATACCAAAAAGAGCGTATTTTTGATATCTTGGGTTGATAATCCAAGAAAATGAAGAGATTAAGGAGAATGTCGCTCATAGAAATAGAGCTAGGTTGACAAAGTGGAGATACCAGAATTTTATGTGATCACCGCACACTAATGGAGTTGAAGGGGAAGTTCTATAGCATAACTGTGAGACCAACTTTGCTTTATGGGGTAGAATGTTGGGTGATCAAGAAACAACAAAACTATAGGATGAGCATAGCTGAGAGAGGATGTTGAGATGGATAAGTGGCAAGACAAGAAGGGGTAGAATTCGAAATGAATGCATTAGGAATAACTTAGGTGTGGCTCTAATAGGTCATAAGATGAGAGAAAGTAGAGTTAGGAGGATTGGCCATGTGCAGCACAGACCCAGCGAGGCACATGTTAGGAGGTGCGAGTTGGGTCAAGTGGAAGGCTCGAAAAGGGTAAGGGATAGGCCCAAAAGGACACGATTTTAAGTAGTGAGAAAAGATATGGGAACTTATGGCCTCACTGAACGCATGGCCCTTGATAGAGCAGAATGGTGAACCACGATTCATGCAGCCAACCCCAAATAGTTGGGAAAAGGCTCTAATGATGATGATGGAACTAAGGACGAAAATGTACCAAAATCAAATGTCACACTACAAGCAGCCCATGTACCCAAAATCCAATAAGTATCTGAAGGTGGGTACTAGAGAACACCTTTGGAGTTGCAATATATTTAGATTTGCAATTGAGTGTGGTAGGGCAGCAGCGTTTTGAAAGTGTGGATCATATCATTGGGAGAAAGTGTGATTCCTTTTTCCACAAAATGAGCTGATTGGCATGGCTTGGCTAAGGGGGTTCTAATAAAGTTCCCTGGGCACAATGTTCAAAAAAATGGAGGCCGGTGCCTAGGCGGGTAGCCAGATACTTGGGCACCCTAATTTTATTTTTTTTGTGTGTGTGGGGGGTGGGGGGGGGGGGAAGGGGAAGTGGGGGGGAGAAGGTGATGTTTATATATATATATATATATATATAAGAGAGAGAAAGAGAGAGAGCATATGCAACCATGTGTGTGATGGAGAGGTCTCGCATCAAACACTTGAGGACATCTTATGTGCAGAGAGAGAGCGAGAGAGAAAGACAATATGAGTTCATCTTCTTTTTCTTCTTCTAATATGTAAAGCGAGGACATATGGGTCCTTGGATGTGCTTGTGCATCTATATGTGTGTGAGAGAGATGCCTCACATCGAACACTTGGAAGCCATATTCTTTTTCTTCTTCTTATATGTAGAGAGAGAGCAAATGGGCCTGCGAGCAACAGTGAAGGACCTTAAACCCTTAACCATTTTTATAGGCCTTAACTATTTTTTTATTTTTTTAAGGGGGGTTACACTTCTTCGTTTTTTCTATTTTTTTAGGTGGCACTGCATAGGCTACAATGCCCCTCCAAAACCCTTTTCCCCACTTTTCTAAGGAGAGGAGGGGGAGGGACTTTTTTTACCTTGGCCAAGGGCAAAAAAAGGCCATTGGCCAAGTTGCGTCAAGGCGCCCACCTCGGGCTCTTAGGAGCACGCCTACCTAAGGCACCCGCCCATAATTACCCGAATCTCTCACCAAAGGTCGCGATTTCGATTCAGAATCCCGATTCGGCAATTCAAACTAGGAATCACGGAACCTGTTTTCGTGAAGTCTAGAATCCTAATTCCTTATTTTAGGAATCTCGATTCTAACACTCATAGAATTTTGTTTTAAATATTTATTGATTCTCAATTTCGCAATTGGTGAATCTTGATTCTACGCTTATTGAAATTTCACATTTGCCTGATTTCTACCACTTCCCCCTTTTTTTTCTTTTTGCTTTTTTTCTAAGAAGTGATGTTTAGGAGTTTTCAAGGCATCAAATTACTCGAGCTCTATCCTCAATCACAAGCTACATCCTCAATCACAAGCTACCAACGTGTAATCATCTTTTTTTGCATGAAATGACCAATAGAAACCAAAGTGATGGTCCACGTTCTCTATTTTAATTATTTAAGCATGCTAGAGAGATTGTAACTCCAAGATGTTAGAAATAATGTAATACAAATATGGCATGTCGATCAATGACTGGCATTGAGACATGTATTGTTTCCCGCTCAATTCCCCTCTCAATTCTAAAGATGTCAGAATCCCAATTCCATAAATGCAAGAATCTCGATGCCATATTAATCGATTCCAACTAGGTCAAAAACTCGACTTCCAAGAGTTAGGAATCTCGATTACATCTGTGCAGGGATCTCGATTCTATTTGATCGAATCTTGATTTATGAATCTTGTCCCCCATGATTCCTCTTGTATGAACGCCGATTATGAAAATAGGAATCTTCCAGCAAGCAGCAATTCCACGCTTCCGATTCCTAAATCGATTTGGTTCCCCAATCGCTTCAAGTAACTATGCACCTGCCTTGCATTTTTGAGAGCTTGGCAATATAGACGGCCAAGCAGTTGACTTTTTTAACATTGCCTGGACATTATGTCCTTGTTGATGATTCTCATAACCGCCATATCTTTGATTCCCATGTTGGTTGGACGAATTGAATCAACGGTGCGTATGAACAAGGCTATTAGTTCCTCTTCCACAGCCTTGAATAACCATGTTGGTGCTGTAAGAGTTGACATTTAAAATGTCATTAACATCTTTCAATTTCGACCGATTTTCTTAAACAAAGCTTGATGTTGCAGTATGAGACGGTAAAGTTCATTGCAACCAGATGCAGAGAGTCTAGACATGACAAATGTGACGAAGATCACAAATTTCCACCTAATCCTCCAAGCAGGTAGAGTACTTTCATCATTGCTGACCTCATGACTAATGGCAGCTGGTTGATCACAACGTCCTTGCACTTTACTAACATACTTGGAAAAGTTCTCTTTCTTAAACTATTGGGGTTGACATTGAATATGCATCAAGCTCATCTTAGATGATTGAAACTAAAGCGCATGAAGGAGATCCCACAATTTTTTCACCAAAAAAACACCCATCATAATGTTTCTTTTTTTCTTGTAACATTGTAAGGGTGGGTTGAGGCATCAGCCTCCCTAACCATCAATGCCCCAACCTCATTCCCACTTCCAATTTCCCAATGTGTTTTGGAGGAGGAAACAAGGTTCCATTGAGATGTCGCATCATTCTTAGCACATATCAGATTGGAACAATTTGACTTTTCCAGATTATGAAGTTGTTATAGCCTAATTTAATAAAGAACAGTCTAATTTAATAGAGACCACATGTGAAAGCATGCTACGAGTCAAAGGAAAGTTTTTTGATGAGGAACCATATAAGGATTGAAGAGGAGAACTTAGGGTTTGCAAAAATAAAGAGAGTTTAGTTTGAAACTTTAATTAGGTTCAAATAAAGAAAAATTAGGGTTCAAGATCGAATTATGAGACTTTAAAAGGAAAATTCAGATCTGATCTGAAATTTTCAAATATTATTTAGGGTTCACGGATCTGATTTTATGGCTCACACAGACATGTTTCTAGGGTTCATGTAGATCTGATTTAATTTTGAGTTCTGATTTGAGAAGAACGAAAGATTCTTATCCGACTTCAAGTGAGATAGAGGAATATTGATCATGAAGAAAGAGGTTAAGATGAAATAGGCAAGATGAAAGTTTGTTGAGACATAAAGAGTTAGAATCAAGAAGGGTTTGAGAGAGTTTGCAGCGAAAGGACGTTAGAATCAAGAAGAGAAATAAGCACGATTAGGGTTTAGATTTGAGAAGAGAAAAGGCTGAGATCAGGAAGGAAAGATATAAAATTAGAATGTCACCTTCCGATGAAAGTCTCCTGGACTAATCTCCAATCAACAAGCTCTGAGTCTCTGACAACATTAAAGAAATAACAAGATATAGGTCATGCAGGAGTGAAGGGAAGTGGCTGAACCTGCAATTGATCATCCGAGGCTAACCATAGTGTCCTTGGATGTCCTTATAGCCCTAGATATATTATACACTGTATAGAAGCCATAGAATAAACTAGTTTGTGCGTACACAAGAGAGAGTAGTTTCACATTGTTGGAGAGAGGAAGTGAATCCTCTTCGAATTAGATTGAATTAGGTTGTCACATTGTAGAGAGTGTATCGTGAATGCTCTTTTTTGGAAGTCCATGTGAATTTCCGTATCCGGTCAAACATAAATATAAAGGAAATGGATGCGCGTTAGCACAACGGCTTTCGCACTAGCCAAAGACGACCAATCTATTTTTTGTGGGATCCCCTTAATAGAAATAAAAAGGTACCAATGGGTTATGAACAAATCTCCATTTTAGATAGTCTTGTGCAACAGACAAAAACACATTTTGAGACAATTAGAAGGTAGCAGAGATATTAAAGAGATTAATTGTGCATAGAAGTAGCAAGCAGTAGCCTAAAAAGGCACAGATAACTTGAACTCTTTGGAGTTTGGACTGGTGCTAGATAAAATGGCACAAGCAACAGACATTAGGAGATTTCATTTTCAGATATATCTGATATACCAGGATAGTGAAAAGCAGTAAACCACCTAACAACTCAAACAGTTCAGATATATCTGATATGGCAGCACGGTACAAACAACTGAACAACATAAAATTCCAACATGCACAAGTAGATCAGCTACATATGTAACCAAAAAATTAATCAATGAATCCATTTAAGCAACACACGACTTGCAATAGTGCAGTCACATAGTTATGACTACAAAAGCCACTTATAGTTTTTCTTTTCTTTTCTTTTTTTCCTTTATTAGAGAAAGAATGCATCTGTTATTTACTATTCTCTGCATCAGGTTTTTGCCTCTCTCACCCTTTAAAATTCCAAGCCTCTCTACCTCCCTTCCTCCCTCTCTGAAATGCAGACTTGCACTTCTTAATATCCAAAAAACAAAAGGATAATTCATCTTCACCAATCAAACAATACTTTATAATTCATCTTCACCAATCAAACAATACTTACTTCGGCTTCAGATTTTGCCAATGCGATGAGGGGCGCAACACCTCCTTCTCTTCCAATAGCAATGCTAAAGAACAAACAGAAATTACATTAGTACTGAAAATGAAAGAATCTCTCATAATTAGAACTTTGAAATTGTTAAATCATTTATAGGTTTGACCAGAAAATAACAAAAGCTATATCTACAGGGTCCAGACAAGCTAAACTCGAAACGAACACAGGGATTCAGAAGGGGAAAAGGAAAAGGCAGACCTCATTAACTTTGAAGTAGATCTCATTAACTTTGAATTCGATGACTAAGCAACAGAATGGCTAAAGAAACAGCACATAAAACTCTGACATTGCTGGAATGCTTGACAATGCTTCGAAGGATATAAGACTAGAGAAAATGGGTTAGGGAAATGAGCAGTCTATCACATCCACACAAACCAGAAAAGAAGAAAATCTATCTAATGGGGGTTTGTTAGAGCACAGAACAGGGCATATGCATAAACAAGGGAAATGAGCACTCTAGCACTTCCCCACGAACCAGAAAAGAAGGAGACCTGATCTATCCAAACGTGGGTACATTAGAGGAGAAAAAAAAAGAGGATAGCAGAAAAGTTGTAGAAGGGATTCGCTTGGGCTAAGTGGTGCAAAGGATTTGCAAAGTGAGATATAGGTGCATGCCTGCATGAACACATATTAATTTACCAAGTCATATTTTCACATATTAATTTACCAGGGCGAGTCCCAAGGTTTGCCTCTGGACTCACTAGGGCCCCACCTCGAGCCAAGTTAGTCCCAAGCCAAGTCTCCAATTTTTTAACTACTGCAATAAAAAGATTTTCTGGAAATGATATTGGAATTTTTCAATGGCAGACCTGTTTGCTTCAGATACTGACAATCCCCATAAGGCACCTGCAGCCCTTTCTTGAAGGCCTTGTGAAGCATTTGAACAGCTCTGTGCAAGAGCAACCTACACAAGGAAATTAAATTCAAGGTATAAATGAATAAACAATAGAGAAATTAAACAAATTGAAAAGCAGTTACTTGGTTTCAGATGCAATACATTCATTATGGCAAGTATTTATATTTTATCCACAGCGTTTGTCTTTTAGAGCAGCTTCTTGATTGGCCCTCTATATTTTATTGTAGAGTTTGCCTAAAGCCATATTTCCTTTTTCCACAAGCATATGTTGTTTCTTGACAACACATATTAGATGTATAAAGGGGAATGAGTCCTCTACTTACAAATTCTAGAGAATTTATCCAAGACACATGGTCTCAGAGAATGCATAAGCACAACCAACATAAGCTTTACATATAGACAACTCATCCAAGTCCACTGTCAGGTTGTCTAATCACATTTTCTTTGTTCTTTTTTTCTGTTCTTTTTTTTAGTCTTATTGTCCATTCACTTCTCACAAAAGCATAAAAATCTTCACTAACTAAAAATTGAGTATTTTCCTTCTCAGTAAATGAATGTACCAATTGCGTTCTTCATTTAGACTACAAATATAATATTCACCCTTTGATTGCACAGTATAAAAGATGGACAAAAATTATGAATTAACAACTTCACTCTATAAAACTTAAATACAGAAGAAGAAGACCACAACATACCAAGGCCTCAACACCACCAGCTGCAGCAATTGCTTCACGGTTTCTGTCATCAAATGATAGATTCCACAAAGCCCCAGCAGCCTCCTGCCTGTTAATCAAATGATACATGACACTTATTTATCGGGTAATAGTAATAATCCAGCAAAAGAGAAATATTTTTAACTCGGAAAAATAGGATAAAGGGTTCAGTTAGTATATGAAATTGAGCCTGCTACTAAAAAAAAAGTTAGTGGGATGTTGCCCTATAGAAATTCACTTTTGGATAATAAAATACATTCTTTACACGTATCAAACAAAAACCATGATCCATTATCTTACCTTACTCCTTCGTGATGAGAACAGGTGAGTTGCACCAGGGCTTCTAGTGCACCTGCCTCTTTTCCAACAGCAGCATTATTCCCGTTGCTGTCACCGTGAGCAGCCAAATTGGCTAAGGCACGAGCAGCCTAGAAAGCAGAAAACAGTTTCAAGATAGATCATCATTGCAGAGAAAAACCGAAATGGAACTGCAGCTAGAAAGACTAGAATGGCCCCAAAAAAGTTCAAACAAATATGCATACGAAAAATGATATACATTTTGAAACGAACAAAAAAAAAAAGATAAATCATAACAAAGCGCAACTACAAGCTTATGCAATCCATTAAAGAAACAAAATGTTCTTGGCAGTGCCATGACAATCACTGGTAACTGCTTGAGCACCAAATTAACATGAAAATTAAGCAACAACTCTGTCACTCAAAATCACACATGAATATTATCTGAGGCAACATGCCTCATTGATTTAAGTTGACCTAAGAGGTCAACGCTGACAAACAAGGGCAGTGGAAATGAAACATAGTTTGAAGGAAAATGACAGACATTTAATGGAAGTATGATTCATCTCCACTTTCCATTATTGAGGATGAATGGTGGAAACTGGGTTCAGGATTTTATGCTGAACACAGAATGTTGTATGGCATATGAACCCCCAGTATGCAGTTACCTTAGATAGATCAATGATTGGTGGACAAGATATATTCGCTGCTATATAAGTTCCTAGTATAGACATCTAAATACTGACAAATCAAATGGTTCAAACAAAAACATAGGCATGTAAAGGACAAAAGATAAAAGAAAATTCAAAAGGACCTGCTCTTGCACTCCTTCGAATTTGCAAGACCGAGCAAGCTTCACCAAAGCATGTACACCCCCTGCCATAGCAACCTCCATGCTACATTTGTCATCAGCAGCCAAATTTGCAAGTGCACCAGCCGCACGTTCCTATTGGGAGAAAGCAAAATGTGAACCATTTAGCACTTCCTCATTTTGTATCACAACCTAACATTAGATTTGAAAATCATGTTTGCTGTTATACTATAAGATACATACTAGAACTCCATCTCCACCAGAGGGCCACTTGAAAATAAGATCTACTAGAGCTTTTACACCTCCAGCCTCTGCAATGGCACCCTACAACCAACAAATGGGGGGTTCGATTTGATGTGAATCTCTTCTATAAACTTATAGTTACTTATCATAAAAATATGAAAACATGAGGAGCCAACCATGCTATATCTTTTTTCCTTTTAAGTTAGATGAGGAAAAGGGCATCTTCCTGATTGCCATGAAAAAAAGACACTAGTGAAAACAATCACCATTTTTTGCTTGATAGGTAACAAACTTTTTATGCTAGGAAAAGGATAAATTTAGAGCCATAAATAGGAAGTGCACCATATTATAACCGACACCTCGTTAGGGGAAGTGCACTATAGCCCAACAGAATGTCAACAGACATAATTCAGCCTCATTGAAATGATGCATTGTAATGGAGAGCAAGTATCAACCCCAATTTGAGACTACAAAGTGCTCCTATGGGTCCTCCATCACACTCCATTTTCGTTGGACAATGATGACCAGTGTTTAATAATAAAAACTCAGTGGCCAACACAGCCATTGCCAAAAACAAGTTGAGTTGCCAAGCCAAACAGTAAACTCAGAAAAGACCCTAGATTTTTTCAAATTTTGTGTGAAAAACAAACAACAAACAGTGTTATTCATGGATTTGAACCATGCTTGTCAACCAAGTACATCAAAATGCCACTAACCTATAAGAGACCATTTACTGGTTAAATCAACAAAAGAATATTATATAAAACAAAAAGCTCCAGCAAATCACAATTTTTCCTATCACATAACTCACCCAATAAATGAGCCAGTTGACTTGGCAAGTTTTCTCCACTTGGAAATGTATTTCTATATACTAATGATGAACCCTGAATAGACTAATCTAGTGTGTTGACAGGACACAGCCGAGTTCATTCGGACTCAGCCAAGTTACTCAGCCTCGGTCTGTGGGCGAGACCAAGTTGCCCCAAGTAGTATGTACAACTCGGGGAACATAAACAAAAATAAAAAAATTGCAAAAATCTCTCTCTAACCCCTTTTTCATTCCCCTCTCTCTCGCTCCCTCTCTGTCTCTCCCTCTCTCTCTTTACATCTCCCTACCTCTCTCTGTCTTTCTCCATCTCTCTCTAGAGTTTGCAACACAAAAACTCCATGACCAGCAACTTCAGGCTTCCTTCCCTAAACTTAGCCCCCAGACCCTTCTTTCTTCCAAATCGAGTAGCAATTTGTCTACACCATCAAAACCGATGCTTGCAAATACTTCAACAAGAAAGAGAGGTGGAGACCTGAGAGAGAGTCCTTCAATGAGAGAGACAGGTGGAGATCTGAGAGAGAATCCTTCATTGAGAGAGAGATGGCCTGTGGGACAGTGGGAGAGATGTGGAAAGAGAGAGAGGAGGAGAGGCGGAGAAAGATAGAGAGAGATGCAATGGGTGGGTGAGGAGGGGGAGAGAGAGAGAGAGATGAGATGAGAGAGAGAAATGTGGTGGGTGGGTTGTGGGAGATGACATAGAGGAATGCCGTGGGTGGGGGTGGGGGGGGGGGGGGGCGTGGTGGAGAGAGGCGGTGGGTGGGTGATTATTCATTACAAAGTAAACTGAATTACAGTATACTTTCCCTAAAATTGAAAGAATGGACTGATGGAATGTAGGAAAACATCAACCAACTATTAAATGGGTTTTGCATAGAAGCCAACCAAAAATACAAGATCAAAAAAATACCAACCTTGTGCTCCTCTCCTACTGAAAGATTCCATAATCCACCAGCAGCCTCTTCGGCAACCAACCTATTTGGTGATCTTGCAAGCTCAGCAAGAATGCTGATGCCACCTTCCAAGGCAACAGCTTTTGCAACGTCAGCATTCACCGAGAGGTTTGCTATAGCCTGTCCAACAAAATATCACACATGCTAGTTAAAACAGAAAGTGAAACCAGATTTTTTCTCTTACTCATTTTTTGTTTCCAATCAAGCCCCAAAGGAGAGAGCAAAAATGATAACAGAAACATCTAACAAAATATAAAGGTTTAGAAACCCAATTGTACTTTGGTATCGATGTCTGCAGAATACCCAGCTACTTGATTCGGTTATCAATGAAGAAAATGATCTCTTTTACTAGGTGATCAACAGCATTGGAAAATGTAATAGTAAGGATTGGCTTTCAGCTCAAATTTGGGTTTTGGCATGAGAGTTCGTCCTAGGTGAAATGACTAACAAAATCCTGCACAAGTTTAGAGTTCAAGCCTTTCTTATTGACGGACAAATTTCAGCCAATTATTCTAGGAAAATTTAGTTTCAAACCTTTTTTGACAGGTAACCAAACATGTCAATGGTTTCAAACTTTTGAAAAGATAAAAACACTATACACAGAATTCCTACCAACGCATGGCAATTTCTTGCATAATTAAGGTTTATATGGGTTCAATTTGCCAAATATGTGTAATTCATGGTTTTCAAGAGTGGAAAGGAAAACTTTTTAACTCGATATATCATAGGAATACAAAAGTAAAACAAACTCCAATCGGCTATTGAAGACCACAGACTACTGGGTTCATCACCGTGAGATGAAATGATGGACAGTGAAGATAGAGGGAGATATACCCATCCCTACACAGTGGTCATGTACCATTCTAGTGCATCCCACTCTCTCCGTCACCATCGATCATTTCATCAAAAGGCGACGTCCCCAATGGACTATGGTTTTCTCTAGCCCATTAAACCGTAATATACTTTTGAAACAAATCCTTACTTTTGCTGCTTCAGATTGTATGCCTTCACGACAAGACCTCGCGAGGTCTAATAGTAGCCGGATTCCACCACCAGACATCACGGAGTCTGCCCTTTCAGGGTCAACAGTCGCATTTTCATCATCGATCACAACAAAGGTCGCAAGGCCAGTGGCAGCCCTCTCTTGAACATCTTCTTGAGGGCTTTGAACTAAGCTCAACAACAAAGAAGCTCCTTGCCTTAGCCAAAAACTATCCAAACCAGGGGGGTTACTCTCTGCAATCCTCAACAGAGTATGAGAGAGAACCCACTCGAGCCAACCCATCAAATCACTCAAATTCTTGTCTCTAGGTTCCAAGGCCCTCCTTCTCCACACCCCATTTCTCTCTCTCTTTGCTGCTCTTGTTTTGTGCCCCGAAAGTGTGTTTTCTCTACCAAAGTCTGGGCTTACGGAATTGATGCCTTTGATAATATCAGTGAAAAGGGCTAAAAGTACCTTGGACTTGATAACATAAGCTCCATAATTTCCCCCATCTTCAAGAATAGGACAGTTCAGTGCACAGAGGACCTTCAAATTTTCAGAAGAGAGTAACTTATAGGCGGCACTAGGAGGCACATCAGTTCGAGAAACATCTAAAGCCACCAAGTTGGGTAATTTGCTCCATAATTGAGAAGCCAAAGCCCAATTTATATTCCTGGTTCCAGCTATAGAAAGATATCTAATGGCATGGGCATTGCCCAAAGCTACTGTGTCAACATTGACACAGTCCATGAACCCAAACTCTACAATTTGCTTGCAGTTATTAACTAGAGCTACAATGGCATCTTCGTCTATCTCTCTAATGCCAGAAAGCCTGAGCCTCTTGAGCTTTGGGCAACAAAGAGCAATGGCCCTTATAGCATCACTTGAAATCCTCTCACAAAAATCAGGCCCGATTTGTAGGCTTTCTAAGGCCTCGTGCCTTGCAGCCATTACGGAGAGAGTAGCATCAGTTATAGCTTGACAAGAGTCACCGCTTATCTCTCTAATTTCTTTAGCTTGGAGATTGATAATGGCATTTGCTGAATCAGAGCCACGAAACCGAAGCTTTTGAAGCTTAGAACATCGATTAGAGAGAGAGGAAGCAGTTACTAAATCGAGCTTGTGCGCTCGCATATCCAACGAGGTCCATAAACAAGGAGCATGACCCAAAAGCCTAAAGGTTTTGCAAGTTGATGCCAAGCTTGCCCTATCTCTGTAATTCAAGCAAGATAATATCTGAACTACTGTATCATCAGGTAAGCTGGTCCAGTCGACCAATCCTGCTTCTTCTGACATAATTGCAGGACCCTCTTCACAAACCCCGACACTTCTTATGCAATCTGTCACTACAGAAACCTTATCTTTCTCTCTAGCATGGGCACCCTTTCGCCTAACCCTTCGACTCATCTTCACCCAAATCGCGAATCCCTCACCACAGTTTTCTCTCTCTATCCAAGATTGACAAAACCCGAATCAGGATTCAGAGATGGTCTTACAGTTTAAGGCATTAAACAAAATTTACATGAAACCCTTAAGAGTCTACGGTTTCTTTTTTGTTCAAGATGGATTTTCCTGAGGTAATTGTTCAATATCAAATTTACCCAACAAAATTGGTCAATATTAATGGCGATAAACAAATAATAGAGAGAGAAAGAAAAGTGGGGTTTTTTTACCTGTAATTGATTGATTATCTGAGAGGTTCTTTGAGAACCAATGAAACAGATAAACGCCTCTCCCTAATATTTTTCTTCTTTTCTTGTTGCAGGACTGATAGATGAATGTAGAGAGAGAGTGAGAGAGATACGCTGTTAAAGAAAAAACCCACAGAGGAATAAGAGGAAAAGGCCCGAGAAAGAAAGAGAGACTGAAAGAATTGGGAAAAAATCAGAGCAAAGCTTGTGCAAATGGGTCTGCCGGAGAGAGGTAGGGAGAGATGGATAGAGAGAGAGAAATGAAGTAAAGGTTTTCAGAGAAGGAAACACTAACTTGTAATAAAGGTTAGAGGATGGGGAAAAAATATGGATGCATTGAGAGAGAGGGAAAGAGGGAGAGAGAGAGATTGAGAGTGTGTCTGGTTAGAAGGGGCTTGTGCCTGAGACAGAGGGATTGATAGGGAGGAAGAGAGAAAAGAGATAATGGAAGATATAGAGGAGGTATGAGAGAGAGAGGGAGAGAGAGAGAAATTCTAGGAAACCCTTGTGCATGTGCCTCCTCTCTCTCCTCTTTGCGCAAGGATACCACACAGAGATTGGGTTTCTATAGAGAAAAATCTTGAGTCATGGCTCATGAGGAGTGTACGCCTTGGTTCCCTTCATTCAATATCAGGAAAGAGCCTCACAAGAGAGAGAAACAATGTGGAATGTAGTATAGTCACATATGCCTTGAGGATTTGAATTTGTTTGTTAAAAGTTAGGAAAATGCTTATGTGAGAGTGAAGCCTAAACAATGTCGATTTAAAGTGCACTTCAAAATTTTATTGGAAGAGGTTATTTGGATGGCCAAATATGATCAATTCGATCATCTCAGCCTCGATATGTATGGACATGAAAAAAAAATAGATTTTTAGACTTGAAAATAATGTATCTTGTAATGTGATTTTTGGACCATCAATTTTCAAAAAATTCAATTTATACTATTTTAAAAACTTTGAATTTTGCAGTTTGATATAAAAACAAACTTTGAGGCAATCACAAAAACCATCATACTTAAACAATATCTTTCGACACTATTTAAAGGCGTGTTTTACTTTGATTGTTTAGGGCCACATCCTTATACAAACTACATCCTAAAATTTAAGGGGCTCCGATGAAGAAAGTCACTTTAACTAGGAAAAAATTCATTTAAGTTGTCAACCTTATACTATAGAAATAAGGTACATGTACAAAACTCCTCTAAAAAATTCCATTCAAATGTCAAATAACCCTCTAATTGACCATCTCGAATTTGAGCCCTAAAAATAATACATTTTGTGATATATTATCAGGACCGTCTATTTTTAAGATTTTCAAGTGTTTGTAGATCTGCTTGATTAATACTATTTTTTAAGTTTTAAATTTCATAATTAAATATAAAAATAGATTTACATACCAACATAAAAGTTTATGACAATTTAATTGTATCTTTGGGCTGACAATGGGTCTTATTTTGATTGTTTAAGGTGTGACCATTATATAAACCTCACCCATTACCTCACCCATTGGCGCAAAGATATATCCTTTATGCTCACATTTGATTTACTGCCTCCCTCTGCATGATTAATAAATAGATGTAGTGTAGCATATTCACAAGTCTTGGGACTTGAAGTTTTTACTGTAAAAACAATACAATTGATGTGTAAGATGTGTTGGGTGGCTAGTTTGATTGCCTTTGTGATCAAAATTAGGAGCACATTAAGATCTGCTATGCAGAAAGGAGCTCATATAAGGAATCCTCTCAGTCACACACACAGTATGGCATGGTCACATGTATCTTAAAATTTGAATTTTATGTTGAAAGAGCAATTGAAGTGTGGGGGTAACTTTAATATAGTAAATGGTTTGATAGGTCTGCAACCCTGTTAAAATAAGTAAATCCTCAATTCATAACTAATCGAAAATGGCAAGTTAAGCAACGGAAAATCTTTACGTCGATCATCTCGACTTGAACATTATGGTTGTGAAAAAAAATAGGATTTCAAACTTCAAAAATAATGTATATTGTACTAAATTGTCTGTTTAAAATAAGTGTTCACAAACCCACATGATCTGTACCATTTTTTAGTTTCAAATTTTAATGTGCGTGTTATAAATTTTTTTTAGAGTCATCATGGAGATTTATGTTGCCAAAAGTACTTTTTGAACAATGATTTAAGGTGAGGCTTTATTTTGTTTTTATTAAAGCCTCAGCTTTATAGAAACTTAATCCAATAAAATTAACAATTGACACAAATATCCTTTGCAAGAAAGGCTTCACATGTCTCGGGAACTTACTCTCTCTCTCTCTCTCATATGTGTGATCTTCAATACACGTGCTTCATCGTCGATTCTTTCTCTTTTGTACAGTGGTTTAGGGCTAGTTTGTATGTTTAGTGCCAATAAGTTTGGCATAAAGAGGGCTAGTTTGGATGAATCAAAATTAGTAGTTTTACGCAAAAAGTCCAAAAGCAATGTGATTTGTGCAGTTCGTATAACAATTAATTTTTTAGGTTATAAGTTCAAAAATTATTCATTGGGACATAAAATCACATAGAAAAAATTAAATCCAAAGATGAAGTTTTTGGGATGAGAAGTTTAGGT